ACTTTTTTCTATTTCTAAAAATAACTTTTAAATTTTTCTTCCAATAACAATTTAATTTTATCACTCATAAACTGTACTCTAAAAGTAAAAGCTCCAACAAACTGCACCAAATAGGTCCTTATTGACAACAAATTTAAATCACAACAGTGATATGGTATCAAATAAGTGATTATATTTTAGCTTCAGTTTAAAAAAAAAAAAAAAAAGTGATTATATGTAGACTTATTGGTATGTTGATAATGGGTGGTGCTGTTGCCACAGTGCAACTGTTACACCACACCTTTTTTTAAATATTTGACTGTTATACCCTTCGTTTGAATCCAACTCAGAACAGTCATCACCTTTCTCATGTTCTCTCTCGAACCTGTTTGCATCTCTCACATTCAGAGAATGGCCATTAAAAAAAATCCTGCTTTTTCTAGTTAATTTAGATGATACCCTCTCCCTTCTTTCTTTGATTTCCCTTTTCAACTGTCACTTTCCTTTCCCCTTCGTTGTTTTTCTCCCTCTGTAATCATTCCCATAGCTTTTTCCTCTTTTCAGTTTTCATTTTGAAATCCCCAAATCCCTAAGATTAAAATTGAAATTTTCCCATTTGGGTGATTGATTTCTTGTTTACTAATTCCTCTGATGAAATTCAATAAAGAAATACAGTAAAATTAATAGGAGAATGTAGTGCTTGTTCAAAAATTCACCAAATACCAATCTAATAGTATTTGAATTGCTTATGGGCTTGTTGATGAGTGTGATTTTGTGTGTTTGGGATCGGAATTTTGGTGATTTTGTTGTGATTGGGAGGTTAAATGGGTAGTTCCTCCACCCATGGAAGATGGTTTCCTGAGAGGGGGTTAAGATATTGCTTGCGTTCGAGAATATGACATGAGAAACAAAAGCAAAATATAAGAGAGGGCATAATGGTCAAATAATTAAAAAGGGGTGTGGTGTTAACCTTTAAGGTTGTGGCAATAGTGTCACCCGTGAATAATTTATTTTGATAATTTTAATTTTGATTGATATATATTTTAATTTAATATATTACATAATATTTTATTAAAAA